GGGGGTGGCGGGTGTTAGATGGGGAGGCTGCTGGGAGGCTAACTCGGTTCTAGCGCTCAGTGGGCGCGCAACAGATGTTCTCAGCATTTAGGGACAGCAGGGTGGCCTAACAGAGCAAGGGCGGCCAGGGCCGGGCGAGGACTTGGGCAGAGCAGGAGGCCACCCAGACGGGGCTAAGAGGCTGGCGAACCTGGGGGGCGGGGTGAGTAGGCTCGAGATCCGCGTGGCAAAGAACAAGAGACAACGAGGTGGTTAAGGAACTTCTGGCCGCACCTTGGTACCTCCTCGGTCGCCCCTGGCCTCCGTTGTTTGCCAGCCGCGCCGTAATGGGGAAACCGAGGCAGCGGAGGTGATGAGCTGAATCAGTGATGAGTCTGGACTAGCAAACCAGAATTTCCGCAGGCGTCTCTGTATTAACCAAGGCCAACCCTGGGCCAGCTGTGGGTAAATAAGCTATCAAGCCCCCCAACAGCCGCTCAGACCCTCCCCTCCGGCTTCGGCGTCTCAGACCCCCCCCCACCTCCCACCCCGTGCCAGTTTATAGAACAACAATTTGGGGAAAACAATCCCGGCCGAGTGACGGCCCAGTAATTGTGACAAAGTGAGTGCGGGCGTCTAGAGAAAGCGCCAGGGCGGGAGCGCGGCAGGCCGAGGCGCAGGCTGGGGCGCCTCTCGCCCACTCTCCCCCGATCTCATTCCGGCCACCCCCCCAGCCTCCTTGACTCTTCTCCAATTCCTCATGTCCCGGCCCCTTGTGCCCCGCTCCTCTTGTTCCTCCATCCCTCTTCCCTTTCCTCTTCTCCGGCTCGCCCCCGCGCCCCCGCCGCCCTCCTCCAGATGCGCTTTCCCTCGTTCATCTCTCCCTCTCTCCTCCACCTCCACTCTTTTCTCCATCTTTTCCTCACGCTTACGTTGCCCCAGCTCTAAGCCCAAAATCCACCTCGCGCCCCTCCCTGGTCCTCGCCTCCAGGGATGTGCGCTGGGCTTCGTGCCGCCCCAGTTTCTAGGAGTCCAGGGTGCTCGGCACTCCGGGGTTCTTCGGGTCCCGCCTGCCTGCAGATACCCTCCCCTTGCTGTCGCTACGGTCCGCACTCAGCTCCCGGCGCCCGCAGCTAGTTTGTTTGTCCAGCGGCTACTGCCGCTGCGGGTGCTGTTTGCCAAGCTTAGCGCTCCGCCGCCCTGTGCGGGCCCAATTAAGTCTCATTCATTATTCAGAAGCCCCCGTCCGCCCCCGCCTCCAGCCTGCGGCCGGCCTGTTCCTTCGCTGCCCCTTTTCAGCGCTAAAGGGGCCGTATCCTGAGCTGCATTTCCTCTCCCCAACGAGGGATGGGGACTGACAGGCAGGGGGTTTGTAAACACTCTACCGTTGGCAGATGACCCTAAGTGAGGCCCACTGGGTCCATCACGACCTTAAGACAGGGAGATCTTGTATCGATCCAAGCCTCCTCTTCCTAAAAAAGGAAACTGAGCCGGGCGCACGCCTTTAATCCCAGCGCTTGAGAAGCAGAGGCAGGCTGAGTTCAAGGCCAGCCCGGTCTCCATAGTGAGTTCCAGGACAGCCGGGGCTACAAGGAGACCCTGTCTCAAAAGAGAGAGAGAGAGAGAGAGAGAGAGAGAGAGAGAGAGAGAGAGAGAGAGAGAGAGGGGGGCAACAAATTTTGGAGAGGAGGT